TTCTGGCCTGTACCCCAGTTCTGTATGCATAGAGAAATAAGTGTTTTTTAAAGATCCCTTTTAATAGTCTCTCGTGCAGCTGGAACTATTGCTAGAGGCCAGCATATTGAAGAAAACAACATGAAATGTCTGGACTTGCGAGTATAGTCTTTGCTGTCCTTGCAGACACCCCAGCGATGACAGTGGTGACCATGATGCTGCTGTTCACGGAAGCCCCCTAGTCCTAGCTAACTTCCTTCTCATATGGCCCCCCACATTGCTTCACTACATCATCTTGGAGTTTAAGGTCATTTAAGTTTTTCACAGAAAGATCTAGGCTATGACGACCTCAGTCCCAGCCACTGACCTACCCTCATGTCCTGCTTTGGAACTGAGGTCACCATCCAGAGTACACCCATCCAGAGCACACCTGGGCTTCGCTTCCTCACCTTTATGTGACGGACACTCCACATTCACTGCAGCATGCAGAAGACAGAGCCCTGAAGGCCAGGAGAGCAAAAGACCTGGATTATGAGGGGGTGGGCTGGGAAATGGGAGACTTTCTTTAGGACTTTTCCCATTGAGCTATTTTAAAATATTTATCTTTTGTCATGCCAAATTAAAAAGGTGAGGGGCCTCCATGGTGGCCTAGGGATTAAGTCTCAGCACTATCACCACTGTAGTTTGAGGTCAATCCCCGACCAGGGAGCTGACCCTCAGGGCGCAGCAGCTCTCTCTTGTCCCCCACCACCCCCTCAGCCATGTGCTCCAGTTGATCTGCCTGCTCTTCTCCCCACTCAGTCTCTGGTGGATCTTCTTATCCCCTCATCCACACTCTGGCCTACATCCCAGTTCTTCTATGGAAGAAAAAAAAAGCGGTGCCATGATATTTTTCCTTTAGCTGCTCAGTAGCTAAAGATAGTTGTTGTTGTTTTGTTTTTTTTTTTTTACAAATACTGTTTTAATAAAGGGTGTAAACTTTGTTCATCAGCTTTATTGGAGTGTGACTTACATACAAAATATTCATGTATCAGTTTGGTCTGATTCAGCCATTTTCATCAGTCATGGGACTGAGCATCAATCCCCACCACCCAGTTCTAGAACATTTCCAGCATCACAGAAGTCCCCTTGTGCCCATTTGCTGCTCACCTCCATTCCCACTAAACAGACGTGGTGCTTTCTGTCACTTTTAATTTTTCTTTTTTTGATATTTCGTGGAAATCATGAAAATGTAGCCTCTGACTTAGCGTGAGGTTTTCAAGGGTCATTCATGTCTTGACATATAATTCCACTTTGATCTTTTTTACTGCTGAATAATATTCCAGCGTGTAGATAGACCACATTTACAAGTTCATTCACCAGCTGATGGACATTGAGAAGCATATATGTCTTTGTGTGGACAAATGCTTTCGTTTCTTCATAGTAGATTCCTAAGAACAAAATCTTTGGTTGTCTGGTAAATTTCTGTTGATCTTTTTTTAAGGAAACTACCAAAGTTTTCCAAATGGTTAAACATTTTCCATTCCTACCCATGAATGGGTTCTAGGTAATTAGGCAAAAAGCAAGAGATTTATTGACAGCTAAGAAGGACAGGAAAGCCCTTACAGCAG